TTTAGCTCTAATAATAATAAAAATGAAAGAAACCATTTTAGAGCTTTTAATTTAGAAAATTATTGGAAGAATTAACGATAAACAATTAGCATATATTTTCAGTTGACAATGAATGGAAATATTTACGTAAACAACATATGTGCAAACATCATAATTCATGAAAAACAAACGGAAATATTTGGGAGATGATTGTTTATTTTCATTTCCTATCCTTTCATTATTGACAGTGTCGTATTGTCATCATATAATAGCCAATCCTAACCCTTTTCCTCTTCCATCCACAAATTTTTCTGTCTTTTTAAATTAGTTTAAATGATTTTTCATTTTTAAAAGTTGCAATCTAATTTAAGGTTTTACTTCTTTTTTTTTTTTATTCAAATTTTAAACATATGATTGAAACTCATCATCATCTCTTTCTTTACTCTTTCATCTTTTCTTCCCACACCTTTAGTTACGTTTGAGTTTAATTTTTAAATCGATTACTAATTCCAATTAATTGCATTTTCTTAGGAAATGGAAATAATTGCAATTTTTTTTTTTTTATAATTGCAATTTGTATATGAAAACGCAGATAAATTGGATCACTTACATTAATTTCAAGTACTATTTGGTATAAAGTTTTCCATAGGACTAATTTTGAAACACATTAAATTCTTTTTTCAATTTATATCATTCATTTAAATTATGCATGCTTAAGATTTCATTTGCGTTTCGAGTATTTATACACCCGTAATACGCATATGCCAATTCCACTTTTTTCAATTTTCCGTCAATCAAAATTTCAAAAAAATACTTTTAAGAAAGGCAAAATCCTTCCAATGCAAACATTCACAAATAAACAAACAAAAAGGATTCATATTTTCTAATTAAATTGTTGAAGAAATGAAAGTAAATGGAAAATATATGAGAAGTTTATGGAAATGGAGCGGAACATTTCTATTTGAAATCAAATTTCAATTAATGCGTAAAATATGTTTGCTGAAAATTATAGGTGGGAACAGAGGGACTTATATTGTAACCAGTCGTGGAATTTCTTCCTTTAACCCATTGGTGCAATGTAAGGTAAATTATGAACAGATACACACCTATGTGTAAATGACAAAACAGGTACAACACATACATATGCACACACACACACACACACACATACAAATGTATACATATACACGCATACACACACATATACACGCACACACACACACACACACACACACACACACA